AAAACAAAAATTTTATTACATATATATAACAAAAAACCATATAATCATTAATCGATACGAATCTTCATACATCATATACATCATTTCTAAAAGATTAATTATTTATATATATAAATTAAAATCAATTATATTAATAAATCAATTATATATTTATAAATACAAATAAATTAAAATCATAAATTAAAATCTCATAACATTATATTCCCAATTATATCAATATATTATATTAATAAATATAGCAAAATAATATATTATATTTTATTTATTATTTCCATATCATTAATTATCCCCATTCTTTATTTAAATTAAAAAATCATTTGTAAATATAACGCACCAATATAATTAATCAAAATAAAAATATATCTTTAAACAATCATATTCAATATTAAATTTTAAAATATTATTAATATATCATATAGAAATCCAAGACATATTCATATATTAAAATTATCATTAAAATAACATATTAATCAATAATACATATATTTCAACAAAGAATCCCCTATCAACAAAGAGTCCCCTAGCAAGTTAATTCTAGTCTATTTCCCTTGTTCTTTAGGACATACTCCTATTTTTATTATATATATATATATTTAGCTGCCTGGTATACCAGTACTTCTCGCCTTACAGGAATTTGGAGCACTGACGGTTTTGCCCTGCACATGAAATCTTTGCCTATGCAGGTCCACTAATCAAATTCTCTGTGTCTCTGATTTGGTTGCCAAGCGACTAAAGAGACACACTCTTTAAAGGCTTTGCTCTCCTGCCCATCAGTCATGTTGGCTCATCTCATGATCTCGCCGGCAGGGCAGGGGTGGTCATGTATTGGGAGCCTCAAACCGGTCGTATCTGTGTAAATGCCAGAAAAGAAGTTAATTGCATGCGCTTTTTACCCAACGTGGGCTTTTGCCGCAGGTTTCAACAATGTCTTGATAGATACCATCATTCATAGACACCCTCCTCCATTCAGTGTCATATGCCCCAAAAGCATCAACTATCAAGCCAAGATTGGGGACCATTCTTCTATGGTTCTCTTCAACAGCTGAATTTATCTCATCAAACCACTCTCATCAGCGCTCCTCGTTGCGCAGCCGCCAGAGCAGCTGGTCCACAGGATCTTTGGAGGAGCGAAAATCCTGGCGGTCTGCGAAAACGGAAGGGCCGGACCAAGGTCAGTGAGGTGAGGAGTCTGTTCCATGGCATCATCATCAAAAACAACATTATTGGACATAATATATATACATATATCCATATTCTATACTTAATCTATCTAATTTTTTCCTCTGTAGATCAAAGAAACATGTTTTCGTTGCCTGGAGATTTGTTGTACAGTACCAATTGGTCTTCGTCAGGTCGTTTGACCATCGCCAAACCACTCTCAGCCGGTGAACACCTGTCCGGAGGACGGCGGACCAAAAACGCTAAAAACCGAACTCTGTTGCTATGGCGCACAAGAAGAATTCTTCACCATCTTCACCTTGGCAGGTCTTGAACACATTACAATATATGTAACATCTAAAGAATCATAAATAACACCTGGCAGGTTTTGCCCGACTTCGTTCTTCCTTGGGGCAAACGGCCCACACCACGGCAGGAGCCGCTCTTGGTCGCCTCCGCCACGGAAGAGGTAATCGACTCCCGCAAGCGCTGCCGCAAGGTCTGGCGGTGCAGTGGAAACGTGCCGTGCTGAAACAGAAATCCACCGCCATGTTTGAGGAAGAAAACATCTGAAGTGCCTGAAATGCATGTCTATATTTTAGACACAATTTGGATCAATTTGGACTTAGGTGATCCAGGTGATGTCTTTCTTCCAAGGATTGCCCTGTTGCCGAGGTTGGGTGATTGCCGAGGTCCAGGCTCGTCGAATGTCGGGTGACAATGTGCGGTCCATGCAGCAAAGCATGATCTGCAGTGTCAGCCAACATCATCAGGTGGTCAGCAACCATATAAGGAGCATGCGTTCAAAAACCACGTTGACCGCATATGGCGCATCTTCTAGGGGTGCCATTTGGTGGCCGGTGCCTGGTGGCAAGTATGTCGTACGGCGACCCGTGGTCCCAAGGTCCCAGGTGTTTGATTGGCGTCGTCTCGCGTAGAACGCACGTGATTACCTGAAGGTTGGGTGGAGATGGCTGGGTCTGGTTCTTGTTGCGTTTTGGTTATGTTCTTTATTGTTGTCTTTGCTAGCTTGCCTGCATGCTGGCAGTCGTGAGGTGGACCATGGTGGACCTAAGACCTAAAATGTCACTAGGTTGGTCAAGGTGGGTTTGTTAGGTCTGACATGGTCTGATTATGTTACTATAGTATATTTTGGTGTTCGTACCTGCCTGAGTTGAGCACAATCATCCTCGTTGATGCAACAAATATGAGCTGCCCATCGTTTTGGTTGTTTTTTGTGTCCAACACATTTAATCGTGTGCGGGTAAGAGAGGGACTAGTCAAGTCGGACCAGGTCCCTGCCGCCTCAATCAAAATGTTGGGCTCCAAACCCAGGGGATGGGGATGATGGTGAAGCCCTGCTCCTGCTGAAGCTGTGAAAAAGACACACTGTTCAGCCCAGGCAGCGGTGCGGAGGGTTGGAAACCTCGCATTAGAGGACGTGGCACTCCAGATCAACGTTCTGCTCCGCTGCTCTACGCGCCTTGCAGTAGTCTTGGATCTGGTTGTTGGTGGCCTGGCGAGACGTTCGAGATGCAAACGAACGAAGCACGGTTCACCACTGGATTCACCACGTGGATTGTTGGGTCCTCTGCAGCTGCGGAAGAGCCTTTCTGGCAATAGAACACACACCCATCCAAAACACATCAAAACACCAGTAACTGAAAACCGATCAAACCACCCACCCATCCCACCGGATCTTCGGGATTCATCCTCCCACTCTCTGAGCGCAGGAACCGCCAGATCCGAACCGGACGGTCTCTGGTCGCTGGAGGGTCGCTCTGGTGGTGAGGTCCTCACCATGTAACATCCGGACCCTGGTCTGTGGTACATATGGGATGGGCTGGGATGGGCTGTTCAACCTCTCTTGGAATTCACTCGATGTTTTGTGTTCCTCGTCTGCGTGCTGGGTCTTCAAACCACTGGGACCAGCACCCAAGGATTCCGAGGGCCTGGTCGGCTTGCGTCCAGCCCAACCAATCATGGTGACCTCGGCACACGGTATGTGTTGTGGACTGCATGTCTGTTTGCCCAAAGAAGCGGTGGATTGTTGGATGGTGGGGCCGCGACATCGAAGAACCCCGGTTTGGTATTATTGTTGGGTGCGGGATGTTTTCGTTCCGTAAACGATTTAGTAGGCACAAAGCATGCCAAGACATGCATCAACCAGCATTGCGGATTTTGGGTGGCTCTTGGAGGGAAAATACATAGGGTGTATGGTAAACCACCCGAACTCCGTGGTGCACCAAACAGTCCAATAATTGCTCTCATGTGGCGAGAACGGACCACAGGAGGGTCGTTAGCTCTTCTGGACTCGCTCCTGTCTTCTTCTCCAATGGGGAGACTTCCCCCACCAAGAAAAGGGAGACCTGGAGTCGCACATCAAGTCTATGTAACTTAAGTTTCATTTCTATATAGGTATGTTCTCCCGGCTCCTTTTTTGGAGACAGCTACATATGCAAGACGTTCAGCCAAGAAGTCGAGACATCCAGCTGTTCTGAGCTGCGCACTGTACTTCTTGGGCGGAGGCCATTTGTCCAGCAAGCTTGTTTGGTCAATCACCTGCACATGGTGGAATTGTGATTTTCTGCATCACTATCTTTCTGGCTTGTTCAAGGCCGCATTAGGATGTATGCTATAAGTATGCTATAAGCTACATCTGCAGCTTGCATGCGTGGTCTTCTAGACCTGCTGCTAGGGAGGTGCTGAGACATATGATTGCAAAGGTACCGTGCTAGTGCAGGCGCTGGCTGGGATCAGCGCCGTTTTGCGGGCGCTGCAGCCGTGCTGGTGCTGGTGCCGGTGCGTGCGTTTTGCGGATGCTGCTGCCGCGCTGATGCTGGTGCTGGATCGGCGTTTTGTTATGGTGCCGCGCTGGTGCTGGTGCAGGCGCTGGCTGTGAACTAGTGACCGTCCGACGGGACGACTCGTCCCTGAAAGAAAACTGACCTGACGAAGAATAAAGAGTTCACGTTGAAGGTCCTGGTGGATATGATTCTAGCACGTCCCAGTGAGCGGAAGCAGAACAAAAAGAAACGGATGACAAGCAGAAGCCATCTCGGTGCAAACCCGAACGCCGGGTCCCATTGTAGCATTCTCTGTTTGCCATTTCCTCTACTGTTTTACAGGAAAATCTAGATACTCAGCTCCTTATCAGTTCCCAACAAGCCACCAGCCAGACCAGGATAGTGGGTCTGTTCCAAAACTAAACACCCGCAAGTTAAAGAGCAGAACTAGCCCTCCAACCCACTTCATCCAGGGGTACGAATCCAATTACTCCATAGCCTAAAAATACATCGACGCCCTCAATGAACCAGTGGAATGAAGGAAGGTATCCAAGGTTGAACAGCCAGTGTCCCTAATTACATCTTTGTCCAGTACCAAGAAGCTACTAGTAACAAGGGCGCTTCTACCAGTAGCAAGGACGCTATTAGTAGCTCCTGGCACTACTACTAGCAACAAGAAGCTACTAGTAGCTAGAAACCACTAGGTGGAGGCCAGGGCCATTAGGTTGGAGGCCACTACTACTAGTAACAAGAAGCTACTAGTAGCTAGCTACCTGTTGAGCACATTTTAGGGAACTTCTTCACCAGTCTGCCTTCGCTTCCGGACTCCCTCCGACCTGCGGCGTGTACCAGCCATTGAGCAGCAGCCAGGCAACCCGGAAGCAGCGCACGAAGCTGCGCATGGGCCTAGGGGGCAAAGCGTGCACACAGAGCTCGCTCCCTGGAAAACATGTTGATGGAGGGCATGACATGTGCTGGAAACACGCAATGGAGGGCATGACATGTGCTGGAAACACGCAATCCGGTCGGACGGACCGAGCAGGATGATGAGACCGCAGTGACGGGCGATTCGCTCTTGGAAAAATCGTTGGATTTGGGCGGCCCTTGGATCTTCGAAAAGGGAAAGTCAAGTACAGCCCACCACCAAAAGATGGCGCCAACCAGTTAACCCGTGGAGTCTACAAAGGGCGACTGACGTGCCAAAAGCACACCAATCAACAGCCACCCGTGGAAAAACCCAGCGCTGCTGAACGGGGCCACGCGAGAGGCAAAAGTCCAAAACCCGCCGGCACCAGCACTCCCGGGAAGGGGGAAGTGGGAGTTAGCAGGGTAAGAACTACTTTGGGCGAGAGAATTCCTTAAAGGGAATGTCTACACAAAGGAGTCAAAAGGGGAAAAAGAAAGAACCCCCGGCTCAACTGGAAGAGTCGGCAAGCCCTGCTCTCCGGCTGAGAACTGCTCGCGCCCTGTGGCTACGGATGACAACGGACAGTTCTTGCAGCTTGAGGGCAGCAGCATCCTCCCCAGTTCGAGCTGCCGTGCTCCGGGAAAGTTGCAGGAGCAGTTTGCTGGCTTCGGGCTCCCAGGCGCCCGTTGACTCGGCCACAACCAGCATGAAGTGGACCCCTTGCTGTGCGCAAAGAGTGGCTGTGTTCAGGTGGGATGCCTTCGTGGCAGCATAGCTGGTCGCCGCTGCCAAGGATGTTGCTCCAGCCAGCGCTACGATGTCTTGCCGCTGTGGGGCCGTGATGGCCAGGTCAAGTGCAGCAGGAACACCGTTGAAACTGGGTAGGAAAATATCCGCTGGGCGGCGATGCCTATGCCTGTACGTTCCCTACTTTAAAACTTTAGTACTTTAGTCAACATCTTGAGGGCCATTCTATATATCCAAACGCTCCAAACAGCCCTTGGCCCTCAAAATCTACAAATTGGTTCCAGCCCAGACCCCTCCGTCGCGTCTGGGTATATCTATGTCATCCGTCCGAATCCGTCCTTGTGTCCGGCGTGTGTGCAGGTGTTTTGTCAAGTGAACTGAGAATGCAGGTCGTCCTGCGGTGTGTCTGCGTGTCTTCCGGTGGGGAACCCAGAAGGTCCAGTTGGTGTCGATGTGTGACGTCAGACATGAACGACTGCATCCCAACGGCATGCAGGGTGCACATGTTTCTCACAAGATGTGACTGCGAGTCATCCTTGAAACCATCAAACCACATGCCATCTGCATCACTATACAAGAATCACCTTGAAAAAACTACCCTGATCTGGACATGTTGCGTCTGTCTGGGATTGAGAACCAACAGGTTCTCAGTAGAAGGACAAGCGCACATGGCCGGACCATCCTTCATTGGAGATCCTGGATAGGAATGTGGAGGGTAGTCCAGCCACACCCATGTCCAGGATGGTCCAAACATGATGGCAGGTCTTTTTTGAAACTTTGAGATGCAAATGTTCAAGTCCGGGTCCTCAAAGGTGCCGAGGCCCGGGCCAGCCCTTTTTGCTGAGCCGGACTTCGAAGGCCTCTTGCGAAGTGCCTTGGTGGAACGGACTTCAGCCACATGACGCATGAGGCCAGCCATGCTTCGCAACTTTGCATAAGCAAAGGGGTTTTGGGAGTCTTCCTACTGGGAGTGTGGGAGTGCAGGATTTCTTGCAATGTGAAATCCTGATTCGTAAAGGGGATCCCCTTCCTCCAAACCAACGGGACGTGCTCTAAACTAAACTACCACCAAAACAAATCTGGGTTCCTGGGAGGATTCCTTTTGTAATTGATTGTAGTATTCATGTTCCTTTCTCAGCATCCTTGATTTAACTAGGAAGAGTACAAAGAAGGCGCTCAGGTTCTCTGCGGTTTTAAATGGAGAAACCGATACTTATCACTACCAGCAGCAGTAGTAAAAAATATTAAGCTCTATATTTGTGGAGAACTCTTTTTGCACAATTGAGACCTTTAAAGCAAACTCATTGTTGAGGATCAGGGGCCTTCCTGGTCTACTACCTTGAAAGTTTGTTTAGGAGCAATCTTTACATAAAGGATTGATCAAGGAATTGATGGCTTTGGTCTCCGAAGGATTTGAAACCCTAATTATTTGTCTAAACAAAAACATAGGACCATCAAAAACTGACATAATTCCTTGCTTCCTTTCGTGGCATCACCCGAGTTTCGAGATTCGAGACGGATGAACCGTTCCGCTTCATGGGATGGTGCAACATCTTTTGAGCTTGAAGGTGTGGCACTGGATTTAGCTGCATCCCTCAGCAGCTTGTTGTCCTTCCTCAAAGGAATATGTTTGGCAACCAAATGCTGAAGCATCTGTGGATTGAGGTCTTGAATAGGCTGGTTCTCCCCTTATATGCATGCTGAAAATGCATGTCAGTCAGCTGCTCAGGCTTCTCTGGGAACTTCTTCGCAAAAAAGGTGCTGCTTTGGTGTCATTCTTGTGGAAAGTGCTCTTGAAGTCATCAACCATTTGATGGATTACCTTGTACTCTGGCATGGTGGTGAGCTCACTGATCAAAATTGCAACTGCCCTGCCAGTTCCCAAAAGCCTCAAGCGCTTAGCAATCACATTGCTTTTTGCAGCCAAAGAAAGGTTTTGGTCTTTCACCTTTTCCCATTCAGGAATGGTCAAAAAGTTCCACAAGAGTTCCACCAATTGGGGGCTCAAAGGGCCACTTGGTGATGGATGAGAAGCTGAGGATTGGTTACTCAACTTCTCATCAACACAATCATTGACAGCTCTTTGCTGATCATTAGACAGACATGATGAACCGACGGCATCATACAGCTGTCTTGCGCCAGCCATGGTCAAACTTGGCAAGCTTTTGACCTCGTTGCAAAAGTTCTTGATGATGCCATCCTCAAACTCCTGCCCTTTTTGGCCCAGGTACAACCTTGCGGTTTTCTGGGCCTGCCATCTGCACAAAACCATGAGTCTGTCGAGGTTGCCGTGTTGACTGAACCACCAGGTGGCTCCTCCTCGCCTTAGCGAATAAGGCCTGAGCTCTAAAGGTTCCAATTGGAGGCTGGTAACACACAACTTAAACAGTTTTCTCCACCTTGGGGGCGACGGGCACAACTTCTGCTGAGGTGAGGCAAGGTGCGCCCAGTGCTGTACATAGCGAAAAACGGTGTCATGTCCCAACAAAACGCTTTCTTGGACCCCTCGGCCTTCGTGAGGCCTAGAGCTATGACAGCAGTACGAAGCTTCGACGAAATCTCTACACGGTTGCGAGTGATGTCTAACAGCTCTCCTGTCCTTAAAGTGCCATAAAAACACACCAACAGGCTTGTGGCGAATGCGAAATGGCCATGGTACAAGGCCCAACCTACCATGCTTTGCAAACCTACTTCAGGGACTGGTGGCGCCCGCTTTCCTGCCACTCACCATCGGTCGACCCCGGTCCCTATCTCTATAGGAGGCTTCCCGGGTCCAGCCCGGAAAGCTTCCAAAAGAAGTGGCATCAAGAGGACAGGAGCCAAGGAAAGCCGACCAAAAGCTCCAAATCAGAAATCTGGGCCCTATCTTTGGGAGGCTTCCCGGGTAGTTGGAGCCTGTGGCCTCCTGCTTTGGCACCTTTCGTTTTATAGCCTTCTCCTTTGGAGGCTTTCGCGGCGCCACCCGAATTTCAAGATTCGAGACGGATGAGCCGTTCGCAAAAAAAAGGATCACTTCTCCTTGGATCCCTGTTTGTCAGGCACCAACTAACGAGCAGTTCTCCATCTACCGCCACAGATCTGAGTTGAACATACACCTCATGGCGTGATGGTGTTTAAAGAGGTTTTCCCGGACCCTATCTCTATAGGAGGCTTCCCGCGTCCAGCCCAGAAAGGTTTCCAAAAGAAGCGGCCCTTCCCACGTAGTTGGAGCCTATAGCCTCCCGCTTTGGCACCTTTCCTTTTGTAGCCTTCTCTTTGGAGGCTTTCGCGGTACCAGCCGAACTTCGAGATTCGAGGCGGATGAACCGTTCGTAAAAGACCGGGTCACTTCTCCCTGGATCCCTGCTTGTCGGGCACGAACTAACGAGCAGTTCTCCATCTACCACCACCAGATCTGAATTGAAAATACACCTCATGGCGCGATGGTGCTTAAAGAGGCTTTCCATCTACCTCCGTTGATTCTGTGTATCCTTGGTGTCAACTGTGCAACCCCGGACACTATCTCTATAGGAGGCTTCCCGGGTCCAGCCCACAAAAATTCCGAAAGAAGCGGCACCAAAAAGCGCCAAATCAAAAAATCCGGACCCTATCTTTAGGAGGCTTCCCGAATAGTTGGAGCCTGAGACTTGAATCTGCCGCTGATCTGTACACAAGGTAATAGGGCGGTTGTCGTAGAAGGCACTGATCACCTCACGAACAGCTTCCACGTAAGCGTCGAGACCGAACGCAAGACCGCGCCGTCCGACAAATAGGCCCGACTTGACCCACTGTGTCTGCGGGTGCGAATACACTCGTCTCAATGCGCTTCTGAAGTGCTTCTGCCTCATCACGACTGGTGCACTTGTACAGCGACACGTGGTGCATGTTGGAGCCGACGTTGATGCAGGGCAGCACAAAGGGCAACTTCCATATGGTGACCCTCACGTCGATCACCAAGAGCGTCTGAAGGAGTTTGATGCCCTGTGGCGTGAGATCCATCGGACACTTGAAGAGGGTCAAGGCCTTCAATAACAGCATCAACCCAAGGAAGCGCAAGAAGGCTTTGGCCGGGGGCTCGCCGCCCTTCCTTGCTTCTCGACCTTCTTCTTAACGTGCTTCTTTTCTGGGTTCTATGCTTCCTTGTTTCTTTCCTTCCTCGCTTCTTTCCTTCTTTCCTTCCTTGCTTCCTTGCTTCCTTCCTTCCTTGCTTGCTTGCTTGCTTCCTTGCTTCCTTCCTTGCTTGCTTGCTTCCTTGCTTCCTTGCTTCCTTGCTTCTTTCCTTCCTTCCTTCCTTCCTTCCGCCCTTCCTTCCTTGCTTCCTTCCTTCCGCCCTTCCTTACTTGCTTCCTTTCTGAGGCCACGAGCCGGATCCTGCGAGAGGGTCGCGCAAGCATGGGCAGAATTCGCAATTCGCTACACGCTTGCACCCGTCAAATTCGCAATTCGCTACACGTTTGGGCACTCGACAGGCGTACTCTCGCTTGGGCCAGCCCGGCTTTCAAGATAATTGAAAGAGCGAGATGTCAAGACAAAACTTGGTCAAGTCTCTCCCAAGTGCTAAAATTTGGTCAAATCTCTTGCAAATGCTAAAACTTGGTCAAGTCTCTCGCAAATTCTAAAAACTTGGTCAAGCCTCTCGCAAACGCCAAAACTTGGTCAAGTCTCTTGCAAATGTCTTGCAAGTGCTAGGCTGCTAGACAGTTGACTTTACAAAATGACAGTTCACGTAGGCACGATGGCCCTTGTCGATGCCATCTCAATTTGTGGAGGGCTATATATATATATAGACATTTTCCAGTGGTCGTACCCTAACAGTTTATAAGGAATTCACTGTTCAATGTGGATCTTGTGCCTCAGCATGCCAAACATTTCATTGAAAACCAATGGACCAAAGACCCATTTTGTAAGGACATGCTGCTGGCTCTTTTTTAGCACTCTGCCAGCCACACTGGTTGGATCCAAAACCAAACCTATTCAAACCCAACAGGGCATTCATTCCTTACAACATTACAATGGAAAACGGTTGCAAGTTTTCTTACAGAATGATGATGCGCGACCTAGCCACATTCTCGAGTCCAAAACATGCACGTCATACCTTTCCTACACAATGCATTTGTTGATAATGATAGCACTCATACACAATGAGTGATGCCAGCCCACCATGATCTCACGAGTTTGATTTCCTTACAAAATGACCTCCTGTATAAACAACACTATGTTAAGTTACCTTGTTAAAAAAGGCCTAGGTGCTTGACATGTATTCCTTACACAATCACCCCGAAAACCCATTTTATAAGGGCCTTAAGGCCACCCATTTCATAGTGGAAATGGTAGTCTATGGTAGTCGTTTTTTTAATGTTTAGCATTATAGAGGACCCTTTTTACTAATCAGGATCCAACATGATCAATCAGCCACTTGTTTAGTTCACGCATGTTCACGAGCAGCTTCCTGATCGCCCCGTTTCAAAGGGAATCAAATCCCCACCTTCCACTTTGGGTTAACGGTCCACCAGTGGAGCTTTGTTTCACTAACGAGGTAGTGAAGAACCGACGAACGTAGACATCTCTAGGGCTCCTGGCCCATGTCCTCAGGTTCGGTGGTTATATAAATGGTTATAGTCATAGTTATAGATGGTCATAGACCCCAATCCGCCCCAACCATCTGGTTGATGCCATGGTCCATCCACTCTTCATGCACCTTAATGCTGTCCCCAATGTGCGAAGAATGATGAAGAATGTAACGATATTTTTGCGGGATCGCAAACAACCGCTCGATTGTAAAAGAACGGTGTGTCCATCAGCCAGTTGAACAATGTTGAAAGATCCGCACACTGGCAGGGTAATTGCTACAAAGCACGGCAAACATCTAACTCATCGTCAAACCTTCTGGCATCCACACCAAACACAACATACATTCAGCTGGATTTTGTGCGAAACAAAAACAACAAACACCGCAATTTGGGTGTGCGTATCACCATGTCAACCAACATATATCACAAACAAGTACTCGATGCAACTGTGGATTCCTCAAACTATAAGGAAAACAGTGGGACAACTTCCTGAACCGGGTCAACGCATCCGGCGAAACAAATCTGAAACACCTGAAACGTCTCATGCATCATTTGACACTGTTGCACTCTAGTCTGCGCCGTGACTATTACACATATAGCATTCTTATCCTGCCAGATCTCAATTCACTCGGACGTGCCAAACATGGCGCACCCGCTGAAACATCTTCAGAAACCACACCCGGCACACCCAGAAGTAATTATCCCTTGAAGTCCTTCCTTCCCGTCCTGGTTGGTCCTTCTCTCTCCCGTTTCGACCCGTCTTACGTCTTCCGTCTTCCGTCTTCACGTCTTGGACCCGCGACAGTTGAACTTCCGGAACTCCTTGTAGTTCGGGGTGCGCGGATTCGAATTCCTGGACCGAGTTCCGGGGAAAGGGTCGACAGCGGTGTCGTTTCGTCCTCCCACAGAGGTTAGTGAGTTTGTTGCTTGGAAGACGATCTAGTTTTTAGTCATGCGTTGTATTACACTTCTTTTGGACCCTTGCAATGGCCTGGCTGTTCAGTTGAACTGAACATCAACAGGAAATTGTGCCTCATTCCTTTCTGGCTGGAAACCTAGTGGCGTAGTGCCAAGTCGAGAGCTGAAACAAAGAGCGAAAAACCTGCCAGCCCCAATCCCCCCCAAACAAAACAAATGCAAATGCAACACAAATCGAAACACGCCCCCTCTTTCCATTTGTTTCCTCGCCAAGCACGGCCCCGGCCCAAACGTGACAGGCACACCAGTTGTCTGGAATCGTCACCTGTCCATTTCGGCGACGCGGGAACCTGCAGGAGGGTTGGTCGGTGTCATGAAAACCTTGCATTTCAGTTCCCACATTTCAAGTAAGCTGATCTTCGGGCTGTGGGTTCGCTGTGTGTCGCTCAAAATCCATCTTCGGCCACACGTTCTACTTAGTATGCCTTGCAAAGGCGGCAAGTAAACTTACGAGGGGTGCTTCTTGAAATACTCTTCCGACACAGCTCGTTGTGAGAGCATTGGGTGAGAATCCACGGTGTCTTCACGGTGGTCTTACGCAGCTCGCGGGGTCGGTGCTGTGTACCGAGCGGCCGCTTCCACTCACATTGACAAGCAGGGGGGTTCTCTTCAAGAATTCAATAGCTCTATAGTAATATATTATAGTTATATCTTATGTATACTTGAAAATAACTGCAATAATATCATGAACGCCATTCCATTGCGCCAGTTTTGCACACTGAAGCGGCG